ATGTACAATACTGTAGAGGGCATATATATTTGTATTATTTTAACATATTTAATTATTGCAGGTTTGCGTTATATTCTGAGTTTACAGTTCACTGTTTAAATTTCACTACATTTTAAATAGAGATTTGGTACTATTTTGGGTAATCACTCAATGGCCAGTGTAAGTGGTTATACAATTTTAATGGTTACAGTTGTTTCTAATCACTGTGGCATGTTGGTGAAGTTGGCAGAAATATTCCTCTGTCTGCTTTCTGAACACATTTTTAGTCAGTCATATTTCTGGCAGTGACGTCTGGCAGTTCTCAGTAAGGCCTGTTATTAAAAGACTTGTCCAACACCTTCCTGAGATGAAGAGAAACCAAGCACAACTTTCCTTACCATCTAGCTGACCAAGGCAGGCCCGTACCCTGGGAGAAAGTTCTCAGAGACGTGAAAGTGAGGGAGGGAATGTTTGTGTAAATCTGTCTCTGTCTCTGCATTTTTATGTGTTGGAGAGGTCTGGAAAAAGACCAAGTGCGTTTGATCATGGCAGGTATCATCTTCTTATGTGTGACAGCAACTCATGATGAAAGCTTTTAAGAAAACAGAAGATGTCAACGAGGGAGAGAAACAGAGAAAGCCAGAAATGAGTGAGTGAAAATGAGAGACAGAGTCAAAACAAAGTGTATGCTAAGCATGATTAGCATTAACTAAATTACGTACTGTATATAAACTATGATGCTTTGTGGAAAACAGTAGAGATCTCATGTATAAAACTTTACATAGATTTTATCATAAAACATAAGAAAAAAACTAAAAAACATACAATTACTTAACAACTTTAACTTTTACCTGGTGAAAAAAGAAGTGTGCTTAATTGCATTGAATGTGCACTTGTATTTTACTTCAAATCTTAAAAGTATATGTTAAAAAACTGGACCTGAAAATAATATAATTTTAATGAAATTCAAGACCACTTAAAAAATTCCACTTTCATGACTGTTTCTTATAAAAGTGCACATTTAAAAGCTTTAAATCATTATGTTTTTTATAATCTTCTGCCGTGCTTTAAAGAAGTACACTTATTTTAATATGACAAACATACTAAAGCACATGTCAAGAATTAGGTAACACTTTATTTCACAATGTCCTTGTTACATGTGACAGTTACTATAGTAATAACTATAAATTAGCCATACTTGCTAAACCCAGAATCACATCCTTATCCTAATCTTAACCCTACAGTAAGTTATGTAATTAATATAACTCGGTACAGATTTGTACAATAACAAAGTGCAACTGAATGTGATTATAATTTTAACTGTAGTGTTAGATGTCAATATTATATTTAAAGTTTATATATGCAACTATATATAACTGACTCGTCATGACTCGAAAAAGATTTGTTCATTTTGATGAACGAGTTCAAACAGGAGAGTCATGAACGCTCATCACAGAACAGAGAAAGGTGAGCATTTGTGCTTATAAAACTTTTTACATTTTTTAAATGGCCGATGGTTTCGCTTGATAAGACCCTTATTCATCGTCTGGAATCGTTTAAAGCCCTTTGAAGCTGCAATGAAACTCTCATTTGGACCTTGAATCGTTTGGTTCCCATTGAAGTCCATTATATGGAGAAAAATCCTGGAATGTTTTCATCAAAAACCTTAATTTCCTTTCGACTGAAGAAAGAAAGACATGGACATCTTGGATGACATGGGGGTGAGTAAATTATCAGCAAAAGTTTTTTTTTTTTTTTTTGTTTTTTTTAAAGTGAACCACTCGCATAATCCAAAATAAGTAGCCTACACTTTTAAAAATAATTTTTCATAAGTGTAGCCTATACATTTGTATAATACTGACATTACCAAACTGGCACTTTATGGAGAGAACGTGGACAACAAATAACTACCTGATACTAACATATACTGCATTAAAATAAAATAGATGCATTTTCACAAGTGGACATTCTGGAAGCAATGACAGAATCTGTTGTGGAAAGGAAAAATAAATAAATAAATAAATAAAGGATTTTATATTATATATGATAAATGATATGATATATATATACAATATTATGTATGATATATGAGATTTAACTATGTTGCCAAAAGTATTTGGAAAACCCCTCCAATTCAATGAATTCAGGTGTTCCAATCCCTTCCATGGCCACAGTTATATAAAATCAAGCACATAGGCATGCAGTCGCTTATACAACCATTTGTGAAAAAGTCAGTAGCTCTCAGGACCACAGTGAATTCAAGTGTGGTACCGTGATAGTCCATTCGTGAAATTTCCTCACAACTAAATATTCCACGGTAACTGTTAGTGGTATTATAACAAAGTGGAAACAATTGGGAACAACAGCAACTTAGCCATGAAGTGGTAGGCCACTTAAAATCACAGAGCGGGGTCAGTGCATGCTGAGGAGCACAGTGAGCAGAAGTTTCCAACTTTCTGCAGAGTCAATATGACCTCCAAACTTCGTGTGACCTTCAGATTAGCTCAAGAACAGTGCGTAGAGAGCTTCATGGAATGGATTTCTGGATCCCCTGGACTCTAGAGCAGTGTAGACGTGTTCTCTGGAGTGACGAATCATGCTTCTGTCTGGCAATCCAGTGGACGAGTCTGACTGCATTGTGCCAAGTTTAACGTTTGGTGGAGGGGGGATTATGGTGTGGGGTTGTTTTTCAGGGGTCGGGCTTGGATCCCCTTAGATCCGCTGAATGGAACTCTTAAAGCTTCAGCATACCAATACATTTTGGACAGTTTCTACTCCCAACTTTTTTGGAACAGTTTCCTTTTCCAACAAAGCAAGGTCTATAAAGACATGGATGAATGAGTTTGATGTGGAGGAGCTTGACTGGCCTGCACCTTAACCCAATAGAGAGCCTTTGGGATGAATTAGAGCAGAGACTGTGAGCCAGGCCTTCTCGTCCAGCATCAGTGCCTGACCTCACAAATGTGCTTCAAGAAGAATTGTCAAAAATTCCTATACACACTCCTAAACCTTTTGGAAAGCCTTCCCAGAAGAGTTGAAGCTGTTATGTGTGTAAAGGGTAGGCCAACTCCATATATATGATGTATGAGATATGATATGTGATATGTGATGTGTGATATGTGATATATGCTATGTATCTGTATGATATATGATATGATACATGATATATGAAATATCTGTGATAGGATATGATATGATATGATATGACTGAAAATATATGATGCAATATGATATATGATACAATTGTTTGATATTTTGTTGGGTCATCTTATGACTTCAAATGTAAAAAATCATTGTAGAACTATAACTATATGGTATAATAAGGTTTCCAAAATCATTATAACTCTAAGAGAATAGTTGAGTCCACAACACAACTACTTTTTTTCAGCTGATGATGGCCAATCAAAATCTGTCCTACTTTAAAGCATGTGTGGCTATTATGTCCCCTAAACATAACTGAAGTTGATGATGATATACTGTTATCATTATAGCGTTTTTTATTTTTATTTTTTATTATTGGTGTGAATGGGCCAGAATTTAGGACAAAAAGAGAACTAAAACACTTTCGAGATGCCGAGAGCTCCACATCCACGACTAAATTGGACTTGACAGAGCTTCACTTGACAGGGACACCGCTCTTTATTAGACAGGTGAGCAAATGTACATAAAACAATTCAATGTTAGAATATGTTATTCTAATGTTGATCTAGCTTACAGCTGGTCTCAAATAGCAAACAAACTGCTCAAATGCAGTTTAGTGTGATAGTGTAGACCATGTGAAACAGCGCTGCGTTGCCTCACAAGTTTAATTTGTCCAATAAACTTGCCTGTGTGAGTATTAATTCAGCACTTACAGGAGTTCAGTAGAATGAAATGTCCTTATTCCTAATTACCGCAGGTCTCACGTGTGATGTTGATATCTGTCTTTTATTAGCAATTGAACCCTGGTTCATATCACAGTCATGAAAACATGTCATCCATAAACATTATTAAATCCATCAGCATGAAAGAAAGTCCCATCATTCTGCTTATCACTGCGTCATCAACCTACGCCTTTGTTATTGTAAGAGGTTTTATTTTAATTACATATAATGTAACAGTCAAAGGTTATTGACGAAAAAATCTGTTGTTTTTTTGTGTGAAAGTCATTCAGGTTTGGAATGACATGAAGGGGAGTGAATGACAACAACATTTTAATTTTTTCAAACCATCCAACAAACCCACTGTACATACCACATCAACCAGCTGGCAGTCCCTCGTTCACACATTTTCCCCAGCATGACTCATTTGGACGAGGCAAATCTCTTTCTGCTGTATCTGAGGACTCACCTCTAATGTGGTTAAGACTATCTTTGTGACGGAGGAGAAGTAGGCGTCCCACAGGAACTGTGTCTGCTGCCGCAGTGCCAGGATTCTGTCAGAACTCACAGACCTGGTGATAGATGGAACCTGGAAGAGTGAGACAGAGCAAGATCTGCCTTCAGATGTGCTGTGTGCTTGTGCACTCAAGGATGCTTTAGTGGTTAGCCCAGGCTGTCTGTAATTCAAGTGTCAAGGTCTATATTGATAAGATTTGCAGCGATTAACAACTAAAATTCTACTCTGTACCTCACACAGAGCTATTGCATACAACCAGAGAGCACTTCCAATACAAGGCCATTTGGGCTATACTTGTTGCCATTTTTTTTTTAATAAATGATTTTGATTACAATAAATAGACTCTACGTTTTGCGTTTTATATTTTTAAGAAATGGTTAAGGTTAGGTTTAGAGTTAACCTTTATTCAGTATATTAAATTTTGGGGTCCTAAATAAAAAAAATTCATATCCTGTCCTATTAATATTAATGTGAAATAAAACACAGTAATTGGTAAAATTTGTGTATTTGTGTGTGTGTGTGTGTGCGCAAGCCTAAAATCTCAGTTGTTACTATTCTGTACTGTACTGTTAAACCAGCAAAATCTTAAAATCAGATATTTTTAAACGTTAGAAGAGACCTTTTAGAAGAGGCAATTTTTTGTTCGGTAATTTGGGGGAAATAGTGAATTGGCTTGATTACAGTAATTAAAAGCTCAGGGGAAAAGTGTGATGCGATCACCCCTAAATAACATTTAAAAATCTGGATTAATAGATCCGATTGAGAATTTGAGCAAGATTTAATTAAAGCTCCCAGTGCAGTGAGTGGTCACTTTAGATGTGGGGCAAGCAGGAATGATGGAGGATTTTTAATGGATAGTGTTTTACTGCTATGACTACTAGTACTATGACGATGTGTTTGTGGAGTGTTTTGGGGGTAGTTGTGCACTAATGGTGTGATGTGAATGTGTATGTGTGTGTGTACCTGCAGCAATAATCTCTCATCTCCAATGATAGCCGCTTTACTCCAGTCAATGACCTCTGAGAAGGGCAGCTCCCATCCGTTACTCAGCAGCACAGGAATACAGGCCGCCTTTGAAACACACACACACATATCAAATCCTCACCCCTCTACACAATTGCCACCAATAACTGTACAACACTTTCACAGTGTTAATTTCAATCGATGAACTGTTGTCAAAATGTACACTGACACCTTCAAACAATGTCATTTTCTCTGTGGACTTTTTTTATATTTGCCAATAGCTTCTAAATCCTAAAATGTTCAGGAATTCTATTTTTTTTTTTCCGGCAACATTTTACTATACGGTTCCAACTTGTTAACATTAGTTAACTGCATTGCAAAAAAAAAAAAAAAAAAAAAAAAAAAAAAAATTCTAAAGCATTATTTATTGATCTTTACACTCTAAACAATACTAGGTTGTTTCAACCCAAATTTGAGTAAAACATAGACAAACCCAAATGCTGTGTTAAAAATGCAATTAAAAAATTTACAGTTGAAAGTGAAAGTTGAAGTTTGGTTAAAATTTGAAATGACCTTTTTAACCCTACATTTGGTTTTGTCCATATTTTACCCAAATGTGGGTTCAAACAACCCAGCATTGTTTAGAGTGTGTATATATAACATTTTCGGCATTCCTTTTACCTTACCTATTTCCCAAATGAGTTTTCAGTAGTTCCCATAGAGAGTAAAAGAAATGGACTCAGCGACCCCATAGAATTAAAAGTGAAACGTGCAGAGACTGAGAGCGTGAGTATTAGCGGTCCATGAGCAGCAGGATCAACTTTATGACTCTCCATGGGCTTCTCCCTTGACATTATTGGACGTTATGCCTCCACGCCCCGATTGTCATGAGCTTCACCCCTGTCTATGGTAATTTCTCAACCGTGCGACAGAGAGTTACATGGTTATGACGCAATCGCTAGCCTCTTTTTACAAAAACTGCTTCTACGGGGCCATAACGTAAGATACAAGGCCTTTTATACATTGTAGTTTCTTTAGAAATAAACAATGGACAAAAGTTATTTGCTGCCAAAGTGACGCCAAAATGAATGGGAGTCAATGGAATGCTAACAGTAGGTAAAGGCTTGCTAACCAATGGAGTCCCCCAGGGAAGCTTCAGCTTTATTTGTACTTCCTGCATAAACCTAACAAATCGTGAACAACGTCTACTTTGACGTTGCTGAGGTGAGGCCTGGAAGAATTTGGTTCGTGTTGTCGACATGTCGAGAGAACGCTGTTTTCAGTGCTGCGAAAGCAAATATGTTTTGCTGCACTTCCAAAGGATTACGACTCTCAGCCTGGAATTGATCCGGTAAAACTGACGCCATTATTACTGTTCATGTCACAGTTTATCAAGCACTGTGGAAGCCGCCAGAGCTGAAGAAATGGCAATGGACGCTGTGTTTCCGAATTGCTCTGTAAGCGAAAGATATGTAGTCTGTGTCGTACAGAAGTAGCACATCTGCTTCGTGCAGAAATAGCGAACCTGCTGTGCAAAAGGGCTATAGAGAAAGTGCTGCCTTCTCTGAGCGAGTCGGGGTTTTACAGCCATTACTTAGTTTCTTGTACCAAAGAAGGATGGTGGCCTCAGGCTCATCTTAGATCTGAGATTTTTGAACGAAGTGCTTGCGAAAAGACCGTTCAAAATGTTGACACTCAGGAAACTCCTCGCACAAGTGTGCCAGGAGGACTGGTTTATATCTCTCATTCTGAAAGATGCCTCTTTTCAGATTCAGATAATTCCCCGTCACAGGCCATTCTTGAGATTCGCCTTCGACGGCCAGGTTTATCAATACACCGTCCTTCCGTTCAGCCTGTCTTTAGTACTCTGTATATTTACAAAGTGCATGGACGTGGCGCTCGGCCACCTGAGAAATCAGGGTTTGCGAATACTGAACTATGTGGACGATTGGCTGATCTTGGCACAATCAGACATGGAGCTTTTGTCTCACAGGACATTGCTCCTCAATCATCTGAAAGTTTTGGGTCTCTCAGTCAACTGGACCAAGAGCTCATTACAGCCCAGTCAGGCGATTTCCTTTCTAGGAATAGAACTGCACTCGGTGGCTATGACGGCTCGCTTGTCAATACAGTGTGCACGCCGTGTATATCGCTTAGCCGCATCCTTTCAGATGAACAGCCTCATTCCTTTGAAATCATTTCAGAGAATGCTAGGCTGTATGGCCTCAGCCGCAGCAGTACTCCAGATGGGTTTACTGCGCATACGCCCGCTACAACATTGGCTCAACACTTGTGCGTATCACTGGGCTTGGGCCACAGGCCGTCAGCTAATCAGAGTGACTCAGACCTGTATTTCAGCTCTGCAGCCCGTTAAAGTGGCCGAGTGGTATCAGTGGGAAGTGATGATGGGAGTGATCTCACGGCGAAAAGTCATCTCGACAGACGCGTCCAACACGGGTTGGGGCGCAATCTGCGAGGGTGCAGATTAGGGTGCAGGCCATAGACCATTTTTGGTCTATGGTCAGACCAGGAAAAGCTCCTTCACATAAACTGTCTGGAAATGATAGCGGTCGAGAACGCACTCTGGCACTTTTTCCCAGTCCGGATCTGTGGTGTCCTACCTGAACCGTCAGGGCGGATTCAGAACCATCAACCTCTGCGATCAGGCAGAACGCATACTAGTTTCTCAGTGCCACCTGAGCTCGCTAACAGCGACGTACATGCCAGGCCACCTGAACAACGGCCCAGACAAACTGTCCAGGGACAACGTTCCCCCAGCGGAATGGTCCCTGCACCCCCAAACAGTCCAGAAATTATGGTCCTATTCGGCAGAGCGGAAGTCGAACTTTTTGCGTCAGAAGACAATGCTCACTGCCCAGTATTCTTCTCGAAGCGAGGACGCGCTGACCCAGGACTGGCCCAGCCGCCCGCATTACGCCTTCCCACCTGTCTCACTACCACAGGTAATAAAGAGAATCAGGGAAACGCCACTCGGTGCTCCTCATAGTCCCACGTTGTGAGAATCAGACTTAGTTCCCAGAGCTTATGCAGCTGTCACAAGCGGCCGTTGTGGCATTCTCGGAACCACTGCACGGCCAATCATTAGGAAAAAATGAGCTGGCCATCCGCTTCCTAAGAGGAGCTAGAAGGATGAAACCTCTGCACCCCCATCGGTTCCTATACGGCATCTTTCTGTAGTCCTCGAGGTCTTGAAAGCTTTCTCTTTAGAGCGCAGGTCATTTCCCTATTGGCTCTGCCGAATGCGACACCAAACTCCTCTGCCCAGACAGAAAATTGAGATTCTACACTGTGCGCTCCGCCTCTTTCAGACGCACGGAGCAGCTATTTGTCTTGTTTGGTGGGCGCACAAAAGGTCTCGCCGCCTCGAAACAGACACTGTCCGGATGGATAGTGGATGCTATTGTGGCTGCTTACACAACGAAATGCCTGCAATGCCCATTGGGTGTCAGGGCTCACTCCACTAGGGGCATGGCCTCATCGTGGGTGTGGTCCAGTAGGATTTCCATTCATGACATATGTGTGGCGGTGGGCTGGGCTTCCCCGTCCACCTTTGTCAGATTTTACAATCTGGAAGTTCCCACTCTGCAGGCAAAACTTCTGGCGATATAAGTGTGAAACAACACAACAGCTCTCCTGATTGAGCTGCACTATTGGGTTGCTATTGCTTACACAAACCGTCGCCGCCACTCTGCTGTTCCCTCTGAGTGCTTATGTACATGTGCTGGCCTGCACTGCTGCTGGCCACCTACTATCCCCACTTATTAGGGCTCCCTGGGTTCCCCCTGGACTCATGTAATGGATGCTTGGCGCGCACGGCATTGACAAAGTACAGGCATTCCGCGTATAGACGATAACATTGTAAAAATGATCCCCATTCACACAGATCCGCGAAAACGACAAAAAACGGTGGATTCTGCTGCTAAGCCATTAGATGCAATGAACCACTATAAACTGAACACCTAATACGTATGTGCAGGACGTTAACGTCTTCAGAGCTTCACATTTTTGAAACCTGTTTTCTAAAGTTTGCGATTTCAGGCACCCAAAATGACGTTGTTTCGTGAAGTTTTTAGTTGAAAATGGTGTCGTTTAAACAGCCTCTAAGACTCTAATATCTAACATTTATGAACCAATAACATTATAGATTTGTATAATTGACATTCAAGGAGGCAGGTCTGTGGGTTTAGCTTTGGGTGAGAAGGCCTTTAAATTCAAGACTGCATCTGACCGCCCAGCATTCAAAGGTGACAGTCATATGGAAGACTTAAGAAGGTTTGTGCCAGATATCAGGAGTGTGGCAGAGACCACCGTTTTGGTAATCCCACCTGACCTTTCACACAGACACCTTCCATCACACACGCACACACACACGCATGACTTCTTTCACTCCATGTTTTTTTTTTTTGTTTAATCGGGATGGTTGACAACACAAGGACTGCCCCACATGCATCAGCATCTAAAAGCCTTTTGATGTCTCTTATCAAAGTGCTCCCATCAGAGAGCACAACGCAGGGAGCCACTGCCTCACTCAACTGCTGGAGAGATGTGAAAAATAAGGAGGAAATTCAAACACCCTGTGTTTACCTCCCATATCTGACTGACAAATATCGGTTTTGACAGGCTAAATATGTGACTAAAAAGAGTTTTCAGTGGAAGCATATGGACACTTTTTTATTATTATTAATCCACTTTTAGATTTTATGAAACTCTATACTTATTATAAATAAAATAAGTAATTAAAAAATATAAATAAAATATAAATAATTCAAATAGAAATAAAATTCCTGATTTTAAAATAAAATAATTTTCAGTTGTGAGGATAATAAAAGAATCAAATCAGTTCCCAGAGCATCAGATCAGCATTTTGTAGGATTTCTGAAAGATCTTGTGACATCAAAGACAGTAAGTCTAAATTTTAAAATGTATGTTTTAAAAGTGATCGGTACATACAGTATGTACATGAATAACTGTACCATACAAGCTCCATCATTCCAAGTTACCATTAATAATTAATCATATTAATTAAATATAGCTGCAAGCAGCCATTACCGGGGCCAAGCGCAAGAAGCGGCAACATATGCCAAAATGGCAAGGAGTGGCAGACCAACTGCAGCAAGGAGCAATTAAGGGCATTTTGAGAGAACTTTGGGCAAATGGCTAAAAAAATCACATAAACATTAACTTATAAGATGATTTAATGGGTTATCACTTTCGAACAATAGGTGGCGCAGTTACGAAATAGATGTGATGTGGTCAGAGGGAGGTGACAATGACACATGCAAAGTTTGGTGTCAAAATGTGAAGGCATTGCAGAGATAAAGCCTAAATAGTAATTTTGGCAGCATGCCTAAACTTTGATGCTGTGGTATACGAAAACGGTTTTGTCTATCATCGTGCAATTCATAACTTTTAGTCGGCACGGTCTGGAGATGATGCGATTAAATTTTCGTGAAAATCGGACAAACGGTCTAGGAGGAGTTCGAAAAAGAAGGCTTTTCAAAGAAATAAAGATGGCGGACAGGAAGTTTGGCTGATTATGCAAAACCTGATATCTATGTTTTCGGCATAACCCAAGGAATCTATTAAGATCAGTTTCATTGCAATAGGCAAATTTATTCAAAAGTTATTAGCGTTCTCAGAAATTAATTATAACTTTTGACCAACAGGTGGCGCTGTCTCAAAATCTTTTGAGTACCTTCAGGGCATGCTGCTTATGGCACACACTGAGTTTCGTAATGTTAGACCAAAGCATTTGTTTAGTATAGCATTGTATTTCACAAAACTGTATTGAAGTCAATGGGAATTTCACGTTTTGTTCTATTATAGCGCCACCAAGAGGCTCAGTCCCACAATTTTTTTTTATGTGTCCTCAGAGTGACCCCATACATATGTGTGTCAGTTTTGGTGCAAATATCTCAATTTACTTCCGAGTTATAAACATTTATATGAAAAAACACGTAAAAAATGACTGACACATGACTTTGTTTGAATTTTACTACCCCTTACTATCAATATTTACGCATTTGGGCATTAGCGTTTAGTTAACAAGCTATGATTCCGTGTTTCTGGCGGTGGTTTCGTCTCGATCGGAACAGCGGTTTTGAAGATATCGCCAAGTGTTTTTTTCGCGCTAAATCGCTACGCTACGCCATCCGTGAGACGAAACCCGACATATTTGGTATCGTTGGACTCGGCAACGATTCAGGACCTCAAAAATATGACTCCCGTGAAAATAAGTGTACCACACCCAAAGGTATAAGCGTTTGAATAAAACAATTCACCACTAGGTGGCGCTGTTTCGAAACTTCTCAGGCTCCTTCAGGGCATCGTACTGATGACCCATAACGAGTTTCGTAACAATTCGTTCATGCGTTCAAAAAATACAGCATTTTAGCACATAATTCAAAATGGCCGACAGCCAAAATGGCCGATCTGGGAAAATTGGATATCGGTCGACTCGGCATGACGCCCTGAATCTAACGAGACCAAGTTTTTGATTTTTGGAGAAACCGTTCAGAAGTTACGAGCAAAAATAGCCATTTTTCATATCTCCGGACCACTAGGTGGCGCTGCGCCGAAACGCAGCACGTAGCCTCAGGTCATGCTTGTGATAACACGTACCAAGTTTGGTGTGAAAACGAGTAAGCGTTGCGGAGATACAACCTCACGTCTGTTTTCGCAAGCGCTACGTAAATTTTGTTTACGCGTTTATCGAAAACGGTTATTCGAATCATCTTGAATTCCATAACTTTTTGTCAGCACTGCCTGGAGATGATCCGGTGCGATTTTGGTGAAAATCGGACAAACCGTCTAGGACGAGTTCGCAAAAGTAGGTTTTTTGGAAAATTCAAAATGGCGGCCGTTTTTTTATGACGGAAAATGACGTCATAGGGTGCGATCGAATCGGCATGAGCTCAGGAACAAGAGGAAAAAAGAATTTTGTTGATAGGCCTTACGGTTCAAAAGTTATTAGCATAATAAAAGTGAAACTTTGGACAGTTGGTGGCGCTAGAGGGAATGAGTTAGAGACACCAAAATTGGTGTATTTAAAGTTGGGACTGTCCTCTATCAGAATGTCAAACCAAAACAACTTTCCCGCAAACCGGTCTATGGGCTGCCATAGACGCCCAGTCGGAAGAAGAATAATAATAATAATAATAATAAGAACCGGCACAGATACAATAGGTGCCTCCGCACCTTCGGTGCTTGGCCCCTAATAATATCAATCGTATTATGTATTATGCAAACTCTCTGTTCAACTTAGAATCCTCCATGTGTGGCATTGACAACTTCTGCATTCTGGCAGTCAGATATTAAGATATTGAGCTGAAGTTTCATCTCATGCTTTCTGCGTGACTACTCATACAGTAGGTGTTACTGGCTTATATGACACTTTTAACAAACTTAACAGTTCACAATACAAAATCTTCTCAAACTTAGATTAAAATAGTTGCTTAGTAAGTATCAGGAACATGAACATATAATATAATGCACAAAAGTTATGTGGTAGAGGCACTGAACTGTATTTTTTTCCTAATATATAAAAAAAGAAGTGATGCAAGTGGAGTTTCAGCTGCATAGTTGATTCTCCTGACGAACCTCAGAGAAAACAACTAATGAACCACACACACACACAGAGAGAGAGAGAGAGAGAGAGAGAGAGAGAGAGAGAGAGAGAGAGAGAGAGAGAGAGAGAGAGAGAGAGAGATAGATTTATTAATAGTTCCCTTCACCTCTCCTCTTCAATATAGGAATCTCTGGGTGTTTTTGAAAAGATGACAGAATGTCAATATCAATAACCCCTACGTCAGAGTAGTGTAACCTCAGGGCTCCAAACGGCAGAGCCCTAAAAACATCCAAATCAGTCAAAAACACCTGTTATGAAAGGAAGTATGCTGTGAAAGTGTTTAAGACAGGCAAACATCAGTGTCACCTACCTGCAGGGCCTCTAGAAAGCGGAAGGACCCAAGCCTCCTGCCTCGAGGAACAAGGCAAAAACTGGAGTTGTGAAGCAGCTCCTGGTAATCAAACCTGTAGACACACACACATAAACACAAAAAAACAGAAAACATTAGAATCTGCTCTTTACAAAAATATAAAAAGTTATATTTGTTAAACATTTGTTCCCTTTCGAAAGATAACTCACACTGTGACGATTGATGCTAAGGGATACCGGTGTATACTCAGGTATGACCGGTGTCTGAAATTACTATCAAATCACGACAATCCTATTTACCGGAGACAGCCCATGAATCATTAACGTGTGACCTGGAAGCAGTGTTGTAGTACTCGAGACTCGGACTCGTCTCGGACTCGGTCTCGAGACCATATTTTAATGGTCTTGGTCTTGTCATGGACTCGTGGGCATTTGGACTCGGAATTGACTCGTACTCGAACATTTTTTTTTTAGGACTCGGACTTATTCCCGAGTCCACTCGAGTTCAATTCAAACTATATTTCATGATTATTAATGTATGTTAATAAAATATTTCTTTAAATTGATTGACACGCCCAGTGATTGGTGATTTTCTAGTGCACAACTGCGCATGACAAATTGTAATAAAATTACTTTTAACACCACCTACTATGTGGCCTTTTTATCCTAAACTGATCATATTTTTTAAACTCTAAGTAAATTCAGTAAAAAAAAAAAAAAAAGGATTTCTCTATAAATAAAAGTAAATTAGGTAATCAACCCTCACTGGTCTCGGTCTCGGACTTGACTCGGACTCGACTCTCTATGGACGCGGTCTTGACTCGGACTCAAATCTATCTGGTCTCGGTCTCGACTCGGACTCGAGTGAGGTGGTCTCGACTACAACACTGCCTGGAAGTACTGTATATAAGGGTGCCTTGCAAACATGATAATCATCTTTTCATCTTCAGGGACTGTTTTGTCTGTAAGCGCTTGCAAATCAGGTAATTATGAAATGCACTGAGAAGGCTGAGCGCTTTTGGAAATGTGTAGGCCCGTGCTCAAGATATTTGACGCCAGGTGACACACAAAACTGGGTGTTTTCTGTCTAGGAAGGAAGAGCGCACACAGACAGGTCTCGAGGGAACTATCTATGCAAACCGTGAGCGTTTTTCTTTGAGAACACTCCGCTCTCGTCTGCCCTCTTCTTGAGAAAAGAGGGTTCGGCTCTCGACCTCACGGCTCAGGTCCGGCTCATGCGACTTGCATCATGGCGTTCCCAAATGGATGATGAAGGTTTTTCTATTAAAAAAAGAACATAGTGAGGCAGCGAGTGCCGTTCCGGACGAACAGGAGATGGCTGATGACGGTGGTGATAATCGGATAGATCCTGAACCTTCTCAGCCACCCTGCCCCGTGTATACTGAGCGTCGTTGGTGTTATGGAACGTGCCGCGGGCAGACTGCGGCTGCCTTGGCTGCGCATTGGGGGAGAAATCGCTCGCAATAAGAGAGGTTACTCCCGAGTCATAAACCACCAGCTCAGGTGAGCCTTCCACTTCTTCTTTATGTCCATACTGAGATCGCGATGACATGGAAGAACTCATATTCTGCCCGTATCCACCGACATCAGCAGGCTAGTCTCGTTGACGTTGAGGGCATAGGAGAGCGGACATGACACTGAGAGCTTCAACCCTGCCAGTTTGAATGGCAGAGCATACACATCAGCAGGTCAGTTCGGTGCTGCCCTGCACACCATGGTGGTGTTGCAGGTATGCCAGGCTGATCTGCTGAGATATCTAGACCAGGGGGTGGGGCCCCTGAGGTGAGCCACACCACAGATCTAGCTCTCCGGGCCACCAAATAGACTGCTGCCTAGATCGGCCAGTTGATGGCGGTGATAGTGACCATGGAGAGATATCTGTGGTTGAACCTGGCCGACATTGGGAAGAAAGAGAAAGACTTTCTGCTCGATTCTCCTCAATTTGCTCGATACCCTCTGAGCTTTTCGGCAGCTCCGTGGAGGTGGTAGTTGGAAAGTTCAGAGAGGCGAAGGTGCACAGATCCGTATCCACGCTCAGACAGATCGTAGTCCGAGGACCGTAGACAGGGCCGAAGGGCCAGTGTCACCTCTTGTGCTCCTCCTCCGTGAAGGAGTAGGTCGCAGAAAGAGGGATCTAAGGGAGGGGATCCAGTACAAACACATACAGGTGATGGATCACCTCTCCTGAGGGCGTAATTTTATCTTAGCCTTCTCCTCTCAGAGAAACTCCCCTCGCAGGCAAGGGTTGTAAGCGTTATGCTGAGTCATGCACTCCTGGATACGCCATCTCTGAGATCCAGGGAAAGTTGTTAACTGTCAGCTTTGGTGTCCCTCTGGTTGGTAGCCTTATCTAAAGGCATGTGTCCAGAGGCTCTGTCTTCGGACAGACAGGAATTTTCCCAGGCTGAAGTGTCTATGTAAGTGACACCAGCTCAGGCTTTCCTGGTGGCATTTTGGGTGAGTATGTTCCCCTGAATAGTGATTGGCTGGGGCTCCTTCGGGTTCCCTAGCCACATTCCCTAGAAGGGACCTCTTCTAAAATTGAAGCAGTGGTCCTAGGCCCTTGAGCAGGCCCAGGTAGGCCTTTCATTAAACAATTTTTGTTGAGGTTTTCCTGTGGAACGTATAGCTTGGGCTATGACCGTAGGAAATGCTGTCACTGACAGCCCAGTGAGTGGTTCTGGCATTTCATTTGAATTTGCTGGTTTTGCCAGTTGTGACTGCCAATGGGTATGCACTCCCCTTAGCATGGTGACGTTGGTATATTGTTCCCCTTAGCGTCAATCGACGCAGTGCTAGTTAACTTTTGAAAGGGTACGTCTGACTGCGTCTTTTCGCCATGCCTCAGGGCCTGCCTATCAAACAGTCGCTTCAGACGGAAAGGTGATTATCATGTTTGCAAGGCGCCCTTATATACTTCCAAGTCGCACGCTAATGATTCATGGGCTGTCGCTGGTCAATAGGGTTGCTGTGATCTGAAAGTAATTTCAGACATCCATGTATATAACACATTCCCAAATTCACAACACACAGTTGGTGGCAAAAGGTAGGTGGACCGGTAAGATCAATCCCTAAATCACCAATCCGAAGCATGGACATGTCCATAGATATCAAATATATATATATTAGATACATCATAAACAATAAAATAATAGGCCAGTTTCTCTACCAGGGGTTGGGGCCCACTGGGGGCCTCAAGATAAAAAAAAAACAAATAAAAAAAACAGAGAAGTCAAAACAAATCTTAAAGCTAAAACAGCTAAAAATTAATTTTTAAAATATTGAATCGCCTCATCAACAACAGTTTTTCTTTCTTTGCAGTGTGGTTTTCTTTTTTGTGAAAGTCATGGGACCTTCGAATAATGTTGTGGACAAGGAAGAGATATTAACACTCAAAAAATGAATTTTGGCCTCTTGTTAAAATAATTAATTAAAATAAGCAAAAGTAACATGATTGTTTAATATTGTCACAACTTAATTTAATTGTGTTCAATCAACCGAATTCATTTGTGAAATGTACATGAATCATTGTTGTTGACATCTAACTGGGCAGTGAATCTGTAGTTCCCACCATGCTTTGCAAGGGACTGCATTAAGAGGGTCAATATATGGAAAAAGTGTTATTTTATGTGTTTTTCAGTAAATGGAAAGATGTTGTTAGTTAATGTTAGTGTTTTATGTTAAGTTATGTTAGAAACTTAGAGTACTTTCTGTAATGTTTTTGAATTTTGTGGTTACCATTATGCAGAAGAGTGGTGACTGTGTTTGGGTCAGTATTGTATTCAGACTCAATATTACACTGTATGTGCTTTAAACCTCCTGCTCAGTCTGTGGGTACTCAGTATGCACTATGCATAAACCTCACTTGCAGTCCTGCACAAGCAATATAATACTACTATGTAAAAAATGGTTTAATTCAATTGAAAAATAGAAGTGTTTATCTATAGAAGTGACCATAGAGTTAAAATAACTAAAATTATAATGTTAGTGAAATAAGGCAGGACAAAACTAAATGTAGTTAATCTGACAAAACTTTATCTAGTAGGAATGACTAAATTAATTTAAATTCATACAACAAGATTACAACTAATTATTTCGAACTAATTTAAATTTGTTGGAAAAATGTAATTCAATTTCGTGGAAAACCTTTCCTTAATTTAATTAAGTTCTTTCACCAGATTATTTTTTTGAGTGCAGGGGACATGGAGCCTTTTTGAAATCACTGACACTATTAAATAAGGCTGTACCCAAACATAGTAAATAAGTTGAATCAACCTTAATGAATTAAGTTGACCCAACGCAAGTACAATAAGTTGGAATAACATAATTGCATAATACTGAAATTAAGCAAGTTAATCATGTGGAAATCCTTTCCATGATTTTTTTATGTTCATTCAAAGAGCTTTTTTTTTTAGTGATATTATATCACGTCATTATATGAAGAGTTCAGATGCAAAAGCCTCTAAATGCCATTTGAAATTTTCTTCTTTAATGATCATTTTTATCAAGCTTGTATATTTAAGTTCAGTAATTTCACTTAATTGGCAATGATAATTACCTATTAATTGTTATTTAAGTGAAATTACTGAACTTAAATATACAAGTTTGATAAAAATCATCATTAAAGAAGAAAATTTCAAATGGCATTTAGAGGCTTTTGCATCTGAACTCTTCATATCAAGACACACGCACGGCACAGTATACTAGAAAGAACAAGCTTTAATTACTTTAATATACAGGAGAATAAACAAGGATGCTGTACATTAACATTGACGAGAACTATGAACAGAAAGGGCTTAAATACACAGAAGCGTAATCAACTGAAGAGAAAAAACAATGGAAACTGACTAGGAAACAGGAAGGCAAAACTGGTACACTGCGGGACTACAGCCAAATATCATCTGTGCTTATATTCCACATCCCTCTTGCTCATGTGATATTACTTAATTAGCCTGACTGTTTGGTTATTATGGTTGCCGAGCAACATGGCAATTTGGTAATTTTGGTAATACCTGATACGTGGTCACGGATGTATAGCGACTATTTACTGTGATGTACTGTAGCTCATG